GCTAGAGAGAAGAGGAAACGTTACAGCTATGAAAGCTCACTGACACAGAAACTTTTGTGTTCTGTGCAGCTTTTGTACTGTATGTGTATTTGTATATGTTTGTCTGGCTGTGTTTCGGGGCCTTGGCTCTCTGATTGGTGTTAGTAGTATCTCTCTAGTTGCTTTTGTAGATCAGAAAAAGAAAGATAAAGTAGAAGGGGGAGAAGAAGTTGCTGCGAGTTTCATCTGCATTGAGGTGTACAGACACCTCAGCATCGTAGCATATGTGCAGATCCTCGTCGGCAGAGGCCGAAACAGTGCAACTTTCGACGAAATAAAAAACCTGAATTCTTGAATAATAATTTGATTTTCATGATTAATTTGTTCTGAAACAAACAAAAATATAATTTAATTTAACTTTCTTAGAACTTTTTTTTTCGCAGTTTCTTGTCTGGTGCCGATCGGGCTGCGGCGGCTGCTGGGTTGCGGTAGTATAGACCAGCGGTATACTTTTGACGGTTTCTCTCTGTATTTGCATGCATACTCTGTTGTAATTTTATTTTAAATGAATAAGTAAGATGTATTGAACAGCAAGAAAGAGAAGATCAGCTCTGAAGCCTATGGAAGGTTCAGCTTCCCCTGCTCGCCTATGACACGCATCATCCTTGTTGCTGGTGGTGCTGCGCCTGTTGCTGATCACTCATCGTACACACCAGGCGAGCACTTGTACATATTTTTTGAGAGTTTGTTGCCTCTATGCAGCTGCAACAAACAGCAAGTCCTCCTTTGTTCAGGGGGCATCGCACCGGCTCGTAACCGGTGGTTCACGTCTTCGCCGCGGCGGCATTGAGTACCAAGTCGCGTATTTCCTCGGCTCTGAGGGGCCCCACATGCAGTTGAAAGCTACTGCTGCTGAGCAGCAGAGAAGGTGGAGCTGGCTTCTAGGCTCTGCTGCCGCTCCTGTGGCTATAACAGTTGCTACAGTTCATGCGGGAGCTGCCGCTAGCGCAGCTGCAGCACGAACAGCTACCGCAGAAGCACCATCGTGAACAGCAGCAGCAGCAGCAGCAGCAGCAGCAAATATGGAGGGATCGGCGCAGCCGCAGTACTACTATGACTCCGCGGCGCACCAGTGGTGGGTGTACAACACCGAGCTAGGACAGTGGGAGCTTTGCCCCGAGACAGAGCAGACAGAGGCAACAGCAGACCAGCCTGAAGATGTACAGGAACAGCAGCAGCAGCAGCAGCAGCAGCAGCAGCAGCAACCAGCCGCAGATGTGGAAGCTGCTGAGGCTGCTCCGCTCTCCCCTAGTAAAGGCGAGGGTGCAGCAGCAGCTGAAACAGAAGCAGCAGCAGCAGCAGCAGCAGCAGAACCCATTGCACAGGATTCAGCAGTAACACAAGCAGCAGCAGCAGAGACAGAACCACCACCAGAAGCAGCTGATCCAGCAGCAGCACCAGCAGCAACGGATCCAGCAGCAGGTGCA